TGTGTGTGTGTGTGTGTGTGTGTGTGTGTGTGTGTGTGTGTGTGTGCTCTGTCTTCTCGATCCCCAGTGAGTCGTGGAGGATGGCTGCTTATACTGAGCCAGGATTCTCTGGAGGTTTCTTCCTGTTAAAAGGGAGTTTTCCTCTCCACTGTCGCTGCATGCTTGCTTAGTATGAGGATTGCTGCATAGTCACTGACACTAGTCAGTGACTTGATGCAATTTGCTGGGTTCCTTATATAGGAAACATTATTTCTGATTGGCTTAATGAACTGTGAATTGGAATATTTATTATGTGAAGTGCCTTGAGACGACTCTGGTCGTGATTTGGCGCTATATAAATAAACTTGAATTGAATTGAATTGAATTTCTGCATCCGTCTCCTGATAAATTCTAAGTTTCTCCCTCTCTTCCACAACGCTCCATCATCCGCAAAAAGAGACTGACCCAAATCACTCCGAACATCCTCAAAAACATCATTAATCGTTATCGAAAACACCAAAGGACTAATAATACTCCCCTGTGGAGTCCCATTCTCGATATTAAAATAACTCGACAACTCCTTCCCCACCCTCACCTGAATCCTCCTACCCTCCAAGAAACTCTTTAACCAACAAAAAATTCTACCACCCAACCCCAGTCTCCGTAACTTAATCAAAAACCCCTCCGTCCACATCATGTCATACGCTTTTACAACATCAAAGAACACTACAACCACCGACTCTTTATTCCTTTGAGCCTTCCTAACTTCATTCTCCAAACCCACAACCGAATCCATAGTCCCTCTACCTCTTCTAAAACCACTTTGAAATCTATTCAGTAAGACATTCATTTCCACAAAATATGATAACCTCTCATTCACCATCTTCTCCATAACCTTACACACAACCGACGTTAAAGCAATAGGTCTATAATTACCTGGCTGCGATGGATCCTTCCCTGGCTTCCTAATGGGGACAATAATTGCTTCTTTCCATACCGCCGGGACCCTCCCCTCCACCCAAACCTTATTATAAAGGCACAACAACTCAGACAAAGCTCTCCCACCCAAATTCCTTAACATTACATAACAAATCGGATCCTTTCCTGGAGTACTATTCCCTGAACCTTTAATTGCTCTCACGAATTCCCCCTTGTGAACAAACTATTAATCATATTCAATTCAATTCAAGTTTATTATATACTATATGATCTTCCATATCCCCTACATCGTCCAACAGAAACTTAAACTGCTCGAAAGCACGATCTCTACCTTTCCGTACTTCCTCCAACACAGTTGACGAACCATGCACCTGAACAAAAGCTCTCCCCAACATTTCCGCCTTATCCAAATCCGTCACCGCTCTTCCCCCCTCTTCTTCTAACACCGGACACCCCCACTCACTACGTTGTCCACCCATTCGTTTAATCACAGTCCACACACTACCTACTGGTGTCGTTCTCCCTATCCTGTCACAAAACCCCCTCCAACTCGCCCTCTTAGCCTGTCTCACCGTCCTCCTAGCCACAGCCTGCGCTCTCTTATATGCCACCAAAGTATCATAATTATGCGTTGCCCGTACAACCTTAAAAGCCTTATTTCTTACCCCCACCGCCGCTGAACACCTTTCATTCCACCACGGAACCGCCACTCTCTTCATAGTCCCCTTACTCTTAGGATTTGCCGCTTCCGCCATACACAACACCTTATTACAAAAACTATCATTCAACAAATCAACATCCTGTTCCAGCTCCATTTCCACCCTTCCCACCTCTCCCAGCCTCTTAAACCGCCCCCAGTCCGCCTTCCTAAAAACCCACCTTCCCTCACCCAGCCCTACCCCTCCACCCTCCCTTACCAGAACTGTAGTCAGGATCGAAAAATGGTCACTCCCTAACAATGAGTCCTCCAAAACCTCCCACCTACACCTTCCCGCCAACCCACTGGACACCAGCGTGAGGTCCAAGCAAGACACCTTTCCAGTCCGAACGTCGAACCTCGTTCCCCTCCCATCATTCAAACAAACCAGGTCCCTGTCTGCCATCAACTTCTGCACCACTTCCCCATTTCCATCTAACTTCTCCCCTCCCCATAACGCACTATGAGCGTTGAAGTCCCAACACCACACTACATCCCTCTCCCACCCCTGTATCCCCAACAACAGATCCAGACGAAGTCTCTTACAAGGATTGTAAAAATTTATAACAACAAACTCCTTCATCCCCTTCCACACCCCAATCACTAGCGCCTCCTGTTGCACCTCCCTCCTTATCACTCTGTACGGGAGACCCACCTTGAGAAAGGTAGCACACCCTCCCCCACTCCCCTCCCGCCTATCCTGTCTCACACCAATATATCCCCTAATAACAAAATCCAGGCTCGGTTTCAACCAAGTCTCCTGAATACATATAACATCAGGCCTATTCTCCAACCCATCCACATAAAATTTAAGTTCCTGTCCATTTGTGACCGTGCATTCCACTGTAAAATTAACAACATGACCCACCCTACCCACATGGTTCCTGTGTCGCCTGCAACTCATCCCTAATCTACTCCCAAACCAACCCAACCAGCCCTAGATGATGGACAGCTGCCTTAACTATAAGCTGGATTTTCTGAGTCTTGGACTCCACTCCAGCTGTACTATTTATTACCCCCACAATAAATGTGACAAACCTTCACTTTTCTTCCTCAAACTTTTCCGTCACAGCCCCACCGTCCACAACCACAGGTCTACTCTGACCCCCCACTGCATACCCCACCCCCACCCGCCTGGCCGCTTCTGCATAGCTCACCTGGCGCTCCACACTTGTCTTCAGAATCGCTACCCGTTGTTGAAGAACCTCACAACCCCTAAACCCAGCACTATGATTCCCACCACAATTACAGCACTTTGATTGAACTCCCACCCCACACTTACCATACTCATGACCCCCTCCACACCTTGCACACCTTTGTTTCTGATTGCACACTCTCGCCACATGCCCATACTTCTGACAGTTGAAGCACCTGACAGGCTTCAGCACAAATTCCCTGACAAAATAGCTCATACACCCAACCATCACCCTCCCTGGTAAGACCTCCCCCTCAAACTCCAACACCACAGTCTCGGAATCCTTCCGTACACCGTACACCCACAATTTGAACCTGTAAGCGCTGAGAATCCGCCCCCCTTCAAATTACCTTTAACTTCTTCAACACTCAAGGTAGTCGACACCCTCGAAATGACTCCTTTCTGACTTTCCCCGGATCCCAACCCACCGCCCACCTTACTCACACTCACCAACCCGACCCCATTAACCTCTCTCAAAAGAACCACCTTCTGAGCTTGCTCAGAGTTCAAACATCCTACCATCAAACTCCCATCCTGCAAAACTTTAGCAAACTCTATGCTCCCTATCAACTCCTTCAACACCTTCGTCAACTTGAGAGGATTGACCCGACTTAAACCCCCCGACGTCTTCCCAAACCGAACCACATACTTCAAGCATTCGGATCCCCCACCCGGGAGACCCCCAGTGGAGTCTCCCGAAGCACTCCTATCCTTCCTCTTCCGCCCTCGTTTTCCCTCCACCGTCGACCAGTCCTGACTTCCGTGTCCCTCTCCATCCCACTCCTCTCTACTATCATATTTACCCTCATAATCAGCACAACCCTCCCCTGATCCATTCACGGAACAGCCGTGCCTCGCCGCTCTTGCTTTCCCCCCTGCCGAGGAAGCCGCCATCTCCTCCCTGCCCGAAAGTCACTTCCGGCGGTAGAGTTGTGTCACACCGCTCCTTAAATCCCCTGGCCCTCTGATTAGTGAGATCAGGATCAGCTGGAGCGTGTTGCCACGCCCACCTGAAAACAGAAAACTGGAAACTGCCTGGTCTCCTTGGAATGTTTCAGGCAGACCGTTAGTTGTTCCTCTCCCATTAGCTAAATGCAAGCTTCAGGTTAATACATAGGAAAGTGGCCCTGAAGCGGTGACCTATGACCCTCTGGTGACCCCTCCAGTCATCACTGGTACTAACTACTGGTGGAAAACAGGCAAGTTGAACTAAAACATCCCAATCAGGAGGAAAATAATGTCCCGCATAACTAAGGCAGAATGAGTTAAATGAGTTTTATCAGTGAGTCATTAAATACAAGATAATTTATTATTATGTCACAAATCAGAAGTAGGGGTTTTGTCTGACCTCCACAGGGGTGTTACACATGTACGTCTCCTTTTAACGACTCCAGTCCATGAGAAACCCCCATGGGCCTGAGGTGAAGAGCCCTGGAGGTGAAATGATTTTAAAATCGAGATTTAAATTCCTCTCCTCTACATTAATGGCTGCTTGTCTTTCCTCATTTATTGTCTGCGTGTTCTTCATAACAAGGCCAGGTGAGAAACGCCAACCTCGGATCTCTAAAAGTGAATAGATGCAGATGAGCAACAATCCACGTTAACTCACTTGTTTCTAGAGTTTCTGCAACTCAAACTTAACATAACATCTTGATTATTCGGGGGATTTTTGTCCTGTTTTATTAGTTTGTGTAGCTTAAGCTTCAGCTGTGAGATGGATGGACTCAAACTTGTCCCCAGACCAGGATTTCTGGCAGCCTTGGTGGCAGCAAGGTGTCCAGAACATGCCCACACATCTCACCCGTACATGATGCATCGTCCAAGCCCTGTGATGTTTTTTACCCTTAAGATCCTTTGGTTTTCGTACATCCCCTTAGCATTATCTGTTGTTGCTACGGCCTCGTTTTCCATGTGTTTTACTTAACTTCAAGCTTTTTTCATTATGTCTTGATGAGGAAAACCTCCAACAGGAGTAACGTTCTCAGTAAAAAAATAAATGTTAACGTTTTCAGGTTTTTCGTCCTGACTTCTAATGCAGCAAGCATCTGAACATAGAACCAGTCCAGTTTGAACCCATATAAACCTGATTATGCAGCAGAATCTCAGCATGTTACACCCAACCTGTTTTATTCAGGCTCTTTCTCTGAGATGCAGAGCTGAATGATTAATGAAATGACTCGTGTGCAAAGCTGTACTTAAAATACGTTTTAATGAACTTGTGTGGTTAGTTTAAAACAAAAGGAAGTTGAAGATGGAGACCAACACTTGAGGCTTTTCTGAAGCCTGACGAAAGCTTTTTGCCTCGATGGTGGCCAACGCAGCTGACTCTCCGCTTTGCCAGAAAAGCACACAAACAAACAAGGTTCAGTCAGGCTCGCATCAGCCTCGGAGGGGCAGAAGGTTAATATTTGGAGTTTTTTTTACTGAACCAGACGAACACAGAATACCATTTGAGACACGCGGAGTGTAAACCTTTACTTTATTCCCTTTTTACTGCAAATTAAAGTTTTGTAGCTTTTTCCGTTTGATTTTACGGGAAACATCTGGATCTCTCGCACCACTGGAGCGCTGGCCCCCTGGGTGATTCTGAGCGGCTCGGCTGTAAGGGCCCTGGATAATGAGCAGGTATCAAACGGGCTCCTATGGCTCAGCTGGCCTGGGGAGGAAGAGCTGCCCAGCAACATCCCAGACCACCATGACCAAACTACAGCATCTGCTTATCCTTAACAACTTATTGTGAACATTTTCATTGATGATTTCACCTGCTGTTGAATGCAATAAACACACCAAACTGACGGTGGGTTTGCTAGATTTCGGGCCACGTCCGTTGTTATGACCTTCGTTTTTCCCTTTAAACCGGACGACTCGACTGAAGCACTAAGGTAAGAGTTGGAAAGACTCTCCTTAAACTGCAAGCCCCGCAGCTACAAAATGAAATGCATTTCTGTAAATTCAAAAACAAATATGTTATAATACATGCTCAACAACCCAACAAAAAAATAAAACAAAATTACTTGTTTGTGGCAGCAAATTCCTGATTCACTCACAGTAAAATGCATGAAATCACACAGGACAGTTTTAAATATCTGTATGTTTAAACATGAGTGTTGTTTTTTTGGGAATAAGTTAAAATGTTTGCAACAGAAGGAGCCAAAAATCTGCATAAATTCAGTTTTTAGACTGAATAACGTCTAGATTTAAACGGTGATAATTCATTCAGAAGCAGAGAAACAATTCCAAAGAAAGTTTTTGGGGAGACTTCCTTTATGTCTCTTCCTTGCAGCGTTGTTGCGCAATTCTGCGCCATTTGGGGCTCCCTGCTCCTTTTGCTGCTTTTAAATCCACACAAACTTTTTATGTGACTGAGTTTTTCCTCCCTCCTAATGAGTCTTTATAGTCTTCTCTTCTTTTCAAAGTCCTTTTTTTCTTTCTCTAACCAGCAGAAGGGAAGGTGGTGGTGGGCGGTTCGTCAGTTAATCGATTAAAACGATCCCGGTTCTTTTAAATTTGGTTTTATTCCCTGAAGAAATACTCGTGAAGTACATAAAAGGAGGCTAAATTGGTTTTAAAAAATCCAGTTTAATAAATAAACGAAACAGTGTAAAATGGACGGAAATGAAACAGAAAGTCGTGATTTTAAACCCATGCAGCGAAAAAAAGATACAAAAAAAAACAACAACGTAAAAATTGCATTGGTCCCTTAGCAGGATATTACTAATTATTTACATTTATATAGATTCATACTTTGGTTTCAAAGTCTTTGAAAAAAATTCTTCATGTAAAAAATAATAAAAATAAAAGGTGTCTTTGCTGGAATACAGGCCGTAAACGAGAGGAGCTGTCCACACGCACGCGTGCACGCGCACTGCAATGAGCTCGAAGAAAATCACATGACGCGTCTCCTCCAAGGCCCTTTGAGGTTGATGAGTTCTTCATTAGTCCCTTTTATTCTTTAGAAACAGTCTGTAACAAAAGAAAACATCATTAATGCGGAGTAAAAACACCAAATCTGATCCGGCTGCGTACGATGACGCGTTTCTGACGTAATTCTGGCTCGTTTGGGGAGCAGGAAGTCATTAATGAATCAGTTCTATTAGCCTGAGCTGACGGAAACCACATGGGAACGGAAAGGAAACAGCATTTTGTGTTTGAGCTGCTTAAAACCCCTGAATAAATGCAGGTTTGTGGGGGAATAAATTAATTAAGAAATTAAAATAAATGATTCTATGTAAATAAATAAATAAATAAATAAATATTCAGATGAACATTTTAGGCCTCAAAGGGTTTCCCAGAAAAAAAACTATCAGGTCACTGAAGAATAAAAGTTTTTGGGAGGATTTTTTCTCCCCTCTGTATTCAATAAACTCCCCAAATAAACAAAATAAAATTGCTTTCAATTACACTTCTTTTGAAAAGATTTAAAAACTAAACAAAAAAAGCTTTTAAAATAAAAATAAATATTTGATAAATTCAACTTTATTCAGATAAATTTAGCTCCACAGCGCCGGTTTGGTTTTCATGTTGAAAATAAAACATCTTATATTATATTATATATATTATATATTATATTAGCATCAAATGAAGCACAATAATCATCTAAGCATGTTTTATTATTAAAGGCGTTTTGTTTAAGGTATCAGAATAAAATATTTAGCGTTTCTGCTTCATCCAGAGGAAACCCTCCAAACATGACCTAACCAGGCTGAAACCTGCGGGAACACCGCCACCGCAGCCTGCTCATGCGGGCCTCTGATGTCCAGCCGAGCTGCCCGTTCCTGCGGTCTGCGCTCTGTTCTGGAAGCAAATCACCCGCGATTGCGCCACTGCTGCACCTTTCTGCGCAAGTTGTTCCAGTGTTTCCTTCAGCAGAATCCTGAACTGTGCTCCTGTTTAACCAGGAGGTGAACATGTCTCCTGCGTGGAGACGGTTCTGACGCAGAGAACCAAGGCAGCAGCATCCAGCTGGAGATGCGCTGTTGTCAAGGTAATGAACAAATAAGCTTCCTTCTTTTGGGTCTACTTCACGTTCCCCTGCGTAGACCTGCATGGTACCCACCGCTTTGGCATTAGACCTGAAGGTGTCCCCGATGCTAGTGGGATGCTGACATGGACCAGGCGCCCTCCATCCTCCACACGGAGAACGCGTAACTGAGTCTCTCGTGTGCTACGTAGCTGCAGCTGGACATCTTGTTGTCCATCTCGTCACTCTGCAGCACCTGACACAGGAAGTCTATGTACCTGGAGGCCAGCTTAAGCGTCTGTATCTTGCTGAGTTTGTCCGACGGCAGCGTGGGGATGATTTTGCGCAAAGACGCAAAGGCCTCGTTCAGAGACTGAGTCCGCTGGCGCTCCCGGACGTTGGCCAGAACCCGCTGGTTCTGCAGCTCCTCGTACGACTGAGAGCTGCTCGGACTGGGTTTCTTGCCCCGCTTCACGTGAGCCGGGCTGCTCCCGCTGCTGTCCTCGCCGGACTTTTTGCTGTGTCTCCTCTTTCTGGGGCAGCGCTTCTGCTGCCGCTCCAGCTCCTCCTCGCTCGTCACCAGACTATCCACAGGGGAGACCGGAGAACTGGAACCCTCTTCCATTTCTTTCTTGAAGAAATGCAGGGAAAGAGAGGAAAAAATGCTGTCCACCTTTGAAGCCGTGGTTACCACAAGTTGTAGAAATCCTTAAAGACAGGGAGAATAAATTATCCGCTGTCTTTTGGATGAAGGGAGCTCGCGCTGGCGCTTGGCACGCGTCTCCTCACGCATACGTCTTTTTTTCCTGAAGAGATTTCGGGAAACTTTATCCCAGCTTCAGATGCTAAATAGTTTTAAGAGTGGAAGGGGAGGGATTTAGTGGGCGGAGGGTGCGCCCTGCTCCTCTAATAACAGGAGGCTCCAGCGGTTTGTGTACAAAAGCCAGGCTGGACGCTCGTTTACTGTCAGGCCTGGAGACGTCATTTGGCTTCATGCTATTCTCACTAAAACACATCAACCCGCAACCAAACAAAACACACACTATATATAGTGAAATGTCCGGGTTCTGCAGATTTTGCGTAATTTCTATAGTTTTTCGTTATGTATCTACATTTATATAATACTCTATTGTAAATATCACAAGTTCATTTGTAATAATATTGTATGCAACTTGCAGGAAATCAGATCTGGTGACGCGGGGATGGAGGCTGAGAGCAGCCGGACACCCAGCTCCTGACAGCGGTCCGCCTCTCCAGCTGTCAGGCCTTGCTGCTTCAATAAAAAAGAGGAATAACGGCGGCGCGCAGGTGGCTCAAATTATGAGATCTGAAGGTTTTTCCACCACAAATATTCACCGTTTAATCAGATCAGCTGACTGAGCTCTGGAGTCTGTGGTTTCGGTTTTTCACAGAAGCTCCTGAAGAAAAATGATTTATTTTGTCTTCTTATGAAGTATTTCTGCCCAAAAATGCATTCGGAGGGACAAAATTTACACGAAAGCCAAAAATCATTTATCTTTCTGTAGATGAGACTTCAGATGTGAATGAAAACCTCTGTTGTGAAGTTAGTTGGATACAGGGGAGGTGCGTGTGTGTGTGTGTGTGTGGGGGGGGGGGGGGGTCCAATTTTTATTAAAAATTCTAATTAAATTTGAACAAATAATAGTTAATCATGTTTCATGGGGCCCAAATCCTCTGGCAGCGCCACTGCGTGGATCACTGCGGTCAGAGATGACTTTCATCCAACTGGTGATTCACTTAGGGACCGTCTACAAATATTCAGTCAGTGAAATTTGTAAAGCCACACAAATTAAATCAACAGGTCCCGTCACCAAAAGAGGAAAATAAAAGTATTATTAGGAACACCATATCAATACGGTGTTTGATCCACTTTCGCCTTCAGAACTGCCTTAATTCATACTGGCATTGATCCAACAAGGTGCTGAAAGCATTCTTTAGAAATGTTGGCCCACATTGATAGGATAGCATCTTACAGCTGATGGAGATGTGTGGGATGCACATCCAGGGCACGAAGCTCGGGTTGAGATCTGGTGACTGTGGGGGCCGTTGTAGTACAGCAAACTCATCGTCATGTTCAGGAAACCAATTTGAAATGATTGAAGCTTTATGACATGGTGCATTATCCTGCTGGAAGTCCATTGGAGGATGGGTACATGGTGGTAATGAAGGGGTAGACATGGTCAGCTGATGGTCCCTATAAGTGAAAGTAGCTTGAATGTTGAATATTTAACTTAAACCAGCTTCACCTCAGTGTGGAAATCTGTTGCTGAGCTCATCAGGGTGATATTTTTCTCGTTTCAGTAAAAGGGTCTGAAAATGATCTTCTTATGGTGCCTGTGTTGTGTTTCACACGTCCAGGGGGGACACTGGTCTCTCTGTAAATGGGGTGGAACCAGGGTGGAACCTATCAACCCCCCCACTCCCCCCACCCCCACCCCCTAAATGTTGTGCAACACCGTTTAAACCTAAGAGTGCACACTTACACAAGAAACTTCGTCTGCTTTGTGTTTTAGCTCCACTTACTGTCACACTGCTTCCCCGCAGAGCCAGAGCTCTTTTAGACCCTGCAGGCCGCAGCGCAGATAGAAACTGTAATGTTCCACATGTGCAAAAATGAAAGCAATGCTTGGATATGTGCGTGCACGTAGCAAGGAGGAACGGAATGTGCACACACAATCACACTTTCCTGACTGCGACCTCTGAACCACTACTCGGCTGCAGGAGGCCTCCTGGTTCTGAAAACGGCCCCGAGGAGCATCTATGTAGGCCTCACAAAACACCCCCTCACAACAACAGTACCCAAGGTTCCAGTGTTGACTGTCAGCTTGATCCAGCAATAGAGGGCGCTATAGGAAGAATTTATACTGTTGAACTGGCTAAATGGATCTGCATGAAACTGTGTGGATGTCATCATTTTACAGTCTTAAGACAACATTATCAACATGGTAATGATCCATCAACGTGGGCGTGGTTTACAATCATTTCAAATTCAAATTAGAAAAAAATCCTAAAAATCTTTATTTGCACTTAGAAGACAGTTTCTAGGTTTTATAACTGCCAGTTGGGTTCAAATAACAAAAAATCGCAGCTCCGCGAAGGGGTTTACTCTTTCTAGTTTACGAAAGTACATTTTTAGGCTAGCAGTTGTAGCACCAATCCCAATGAGCCAAACGTCTTGAAATTTGGCACAGCGTTTAGTCTTGGGTGGTTTATTAAACACATAAAATATATTCCTGATTTGAGTGCCCCCTTGTGTTTAATATTAGGATTTTTTTATTGACAGCCACTAATGCTAATATTACCTTATTTCAAGATATGTTCAAGATTTATGATCCTTATAAAAATACAGGCAGATGTCCCACATCACAAAGGTAATCTGGGAATATTTAGAGATTTTTGTACAAAAGCACAGATTTTTAATTCATTTTTAACTTTATGTCAGTTTTTCTGTATAGTTGAATAAAAAAGTAAATAATTTTGTTAGAATGTTTTTTGAAGAAATAGTAAATATAAACCATTAATAACATTCCACATGTGCCTGTGGTGATAGCAATATTTTAAATGAATATTTTTATTTTGGGTGTGACCCTTAAAATTATATTAACCAATTTTTCCTGAAAAAAGCTTTGAATATACTGATTTAAAAACAACAGCATTGTATTCCACACCTTGACATTGCCATGTGAGAGTACTTTGGTAATTTTTGATGATTGATTGAATTTTTAGGAATTTTTAAAATCATTTGATCAGTAAGTCACGAAATGAAACTCATAGTTTCTGTTGAAATTGCATTAAATCTAGAGACATTATCAAGTACCAGTATTATTCCCAGTATACTATTGATGACTACAGACCTGTTTCCTTACTTGCTCAATTTGCCAAGATACTAGAAAAATTGTTCACTAACCGCCTAGATACATTTTTAGAAAAACATAAACTACTTACTGACAGTCAGTATGGATTTAGAGCTAATGGTTCAACATCACTGGCACTAACTGAAACACTAGAGGACATTACAAATGCTAGAGATCAGAAAAAAGTGTGCAGCAGAAGTATTCAGATCTAAAAAAAAAAAAGCATTTGACACAATCAAAACATCCTACTAAATAAACTGGAATGCTATGGAATTAGGGGGGTGGCACTAGACTGGATCAGGAATTATTTGACCGACATGCTTGGACATTGTTTGTGGTGTTCCCCAGGGGTCAGTGCTTGGTCCAAAACTGTTCATTCTTTATATGAATGACATCTGCCAGGTGTCACAATCATTAAAGTTAATTTTATTTGCAGATGATACAACTATTTTCTGTTCTAGGGATAATTTCAAGGGACTCTTACATACGCTCAACTCAGAACTACAAAAACTAAAAAAAATGGTTTGAATGGAATAAATTATCACTAAACTTGAATAAAACTAAAATCATGCTGTTTGGGAACAGCAGCCTAAATTTACAAGAACAAATCCAAATTGATGGTGTGAGAAAGAGTGAAGGAGATCAGATTTCTTGGTTTAATAATAGACAATAGAATCAGCTGGAAAGCTCACATTAAACATATAAGCAATACAATCTCAAGAAGCATCTCAATACTAAATAAAGTCAAACACATTCTATACTGTTGACTTATTTCCACATATTTAAATGACTGCACAGAGGGTTGGGGAAACACCTATAAATGTGCATCATCATCATTATCTGTGTTACAACAAAGGGCTCTAGGGACCATTCATAACACGGTTACAGGGATTATATAAACCCATTGTTTTTAAAATCACAAATGTTAAAATGTCCAGGGATAGTTCAGTTTAAAACAGCACAGCTAATGTACAAAGTCAACAATGAACTACTTCCAGACAACACATTAAAACAGTTTCATAAAAGGGAGGGGAGGCATCAGGTAAGAGGGGAGTTAATATTCAAACATGCTCGAGTCCGAACAACATTAAAAACTTTCAGTGTGTGTGTGCGTGTGTGTGTGTGTGTGCGTGTGTGTGTGTGTGTGTGTGTGTGTGAAACTGTGGAACAGGATGAGTGATGAATTGAAGCAATGTCCAAACTTGATGCTGTTTAAAAAAGGCTTCAACTCACGATGTTTACCAAATACAAGGAAGAAGGTCCAAAAGTGTGTTCCTAAACACAAAATGTTTGTATTCATGAGATGATCGTGATAAACCATGTGCCATTTGTGTGAATATGTTGCAAAGTCATTTGCCAAAAAACTACCAGACAACATTAAATAACTATGTGATGTCGAGAAAGGGTGGGATTAAATGAGCTGATGCTTCTTCCTACTCTCTTTTGACCGTGTGTACGAAACCAAAGGAGATGGAGACGTTACTTATGTTGTGTGTATTACTATGTGTACGTATGCATGTTCAAAATAAAGACAAAGCTGTTGAGATTGTTTGGTGATCTTTAGATCAAATATGGACATTATAATAACGTTTATTTTCAGTCAGATTAATTATAAATTTCATTAAATTTATTTTATTTAAAAAATAAATTTAGAAACAATAAAATGACGGAACCTGACTTCTCATGACCCCATGATGTTACAATAATATTTAGGAATTTTCTTTAAGAAGAATACATTTGTGATAAATTTAAAAAACATTGTCAGTTATATTGAAAAGGTAAATAGCCCATATTTGTACATCTTAGGTGTGTTCTTGCTGTGTCTTTCTAAATCCATGCTTTCGTTCTTTTTTAAACACAGAAACAGTTTTGTTTACCTGTTTGTAGCGGAGAAGGAAGTGACGCGCCACCATCAGCGTCAGCCTGAAGAAGCCGGCAGCCGTCGGCGAAACTGTAG